CTCGTCGTCCCGTTCGTGGTCACCGTCGCCGTCGCCGTCGTCGTCGTCGTCGTCGTCGTCGTCGTCGTCGTCGTCGTCGACCGCCTATGGAGGCCTCCGCGGCCCCCATCTTCGTGGTCGATGCGGGCTCGTCCGGCTCACGCCTATCGCGGTATTGCCTGTGCGCGGACGGGCGCGTGAAGAAGACCGCCTCCCGGAGCCTCGGCTCGGGGTGCGCCCCAGGGGCTGGGGGGGAGTGAAGTAAGTAAGTAAGTAAGCAAGTAAGTAAGTAAGTAGGTAGGTAGGTGGGTAGGTAGGTAGGTAAGTAAGCAAGCGAGTAAGAGGAGGAGGAAGAGGAGGAGGACAGACGCGGTGATCCCCTGTCAACAATGGATTTATGTTGAAGGGGGAGGAGGAGGACGAGGAGGAGGAGGAGGAGGAGGAGGAGGAGGAGGAGGAGGAGGAGGATAAGGAAAACTAGAACAATGAGAATGCGAAAGGAGAGGTGGAGGATGAGGATGAGGATGAGGATGAAGAGGAGGTGGAGGAGGAGGAGGAGGAGGAGGAGGAGGAGGAGGAGCAGGAGAAACAAATTCACGCCGATGAATATGATGCAGAAGGAGGATGTGGATGCTGCTGATGATAAAAATGATGATGTGCAGATGCTCAGGAATGCGGACGATGCGCTGGACACGGAGTTGGGGACGTTAGACATGAGGCAGAACAGGGAGAAGCAGGTGACGAGCTTCCTGATTCAGGGTAGCGGTTCCACGGCATGCAAGAGGTGGCTACAGGTGAAAAGGCAAGGACGAGAGCGGCATCCAGGGCGAGCTTAACGACGTGGCGAGGTACCTGGAGCCTCACATCTCTCCGAAGGGAACGGCGGAGTTCGAGATACCACGGAGGTGCGAGGCGGCTAAGACGGCCTTCTGCGCGATGGGAGCCTTCTGGAGCCTTTCGACGCCATGGAGGTGGAAACGCGTGGTGTTCTCGGGTACGGTGATGGGGGCGATACTGCCAGGGATGGAGTGCTTCATCTTATCGGAGGCGCAGTACAGAGGCTGGACTTGTGCTGGGCGGGGCTGGGGCGCATTGCCATGGCCGCGGGGGCTCGACCAAGTGGCCTGGCTGGAGGACGGCACCGTGAAGAGCTTGACGACGGAGGAGGTGCTGGCGTATTTGCGCGTGGGCGACACGAAGACCGAGTTGCTGGTCAGGAGGCTGAAGTGGTATCAGAGCTGGGCTCGACGACCTTGGCACCACGCTCAACTACTCTCGATTCTTTTTGCCGACCTACCTGGGGTTCACGGAGTGCCACCTTGCACGGGGGACGGGCTGTCTGAGTCGGCATTGCCGTGGGCGAGACGAATCGGGGAGGACATTTAAAAGGCGAGCGAAACGATGGAGGACGAGGCTGAGACGCTGGAGGAGCTAGGCAGGGCCCCCTGGAAGCTGGAGGCGGACCGAGAGCTGGCGAAACAGTTCTTGCGGATGGACTTTGCGAGGGTGAGGTGCAACACGTACACGGTGATGATCCCTCCTCCTGGGCTGGAGCGGCCAGCTGAAACGCAGCGCCAGGGAACAACGGAACGACCAGCCGAAACGCAACGCCAGGGAACAGCGGTGGAGGAGGCATTGGAGCTGGAGCAGGGCGACGACGCGCTCAGGGACATCTGCGCGTGCGGAGTGGAGCTGGATTGCGGTGGCAGGTGTAGGGCTCGTTTTGCCACGCGACGCCAGCTGCTTCACCGCCAGCCTGACAAAAAACAACCAGTGCATTGTGTGCGAGAGGGTCTTTGCGGGGCAACTGTCGGCGGCGAAGCATTTGGAACGAAGTTTTCAGAGTGGTGTGGGAGGTGCAACAGTGGACTGATACACCCTTTGAGGGCGCCGAGCTCATTCTCTTGTGATTAATGCGAGTTCGAGGGGGCCGATTGGGATGACTTCAGGAAGCGTCCCGGCTCAAACCATCTTCCTTGGCGAATCACGGCTGAACGACCTGGGCGGCAGAGCCATGGCCGACATGGAAGACCTCGGGGTACCCAACTGGCTGAAGCGCGGAGCGGAGGAGACGGAAGTCCCGGGATCGGATAAGCCCAAGGACGAGAAGCCGAAGCAACAGGGGACCAGAGGAGGAGGCGGCGGAGGCAAAAGGCATCGTCGGCGCTCAACTGGTGAAGTGCGGGCAGGAGTACGACAGTCAGGGCAAGGAACTTAAGGCAAAGCTGGTCAAGGGCGAGCAGGTGGACTTCAAAACGCGAAGCAGCCCACGCATCGGGCTCTTCGCGAAGACGGTGTACCAGATTCTGCAGCAGACGGGGCTGCGCGAGGCAAGCGCGCGAACGAGGCGGTCCACAAGAAGCTGGTGCACTACTGGAAAGAACAGGTGGTGATGGGGGCGCCCGAGCAGCTGGATGATGATGGCCACCAGTTCCGCTGCCGCACGAGCTGGACCCAGGAGGAGAAGGACGGCGAATGCGGGGTTCTCTCGGTGGCCCTCAGCAGATTGGGAGTGGGGGCGGCAGCGGGCCAGATTATCTGGACGTTCATCAAGGACCTGGAGACGGACGTGGAGATGGCGGGCGCGGCGCCTCGAGGGCCGCTCGAACGAGAGACGTCCCGGTGCCTGGCGGCCGTGACGGGCAGCAAGAAGGAGTGGGCAGTCGTTGGGGCGAAAGGCTGCGAGCCTTGAATGAGCGGGGCGCGGCGCGCAAGGGTGTGCTGGTGAGCGGGGGAAACGCGTTTCAGACCTACCTCCCCCCGTTCCTGCCTCAGATCCCCGTTGCAGTCGTGGCAAGGGCGAATTCGGTTTCTAGAGGGGGGGGCGGGGTGGAGCTCGTGGTCGTGGCCGTGGTCGTGGGAGGGGGGGAAGGACAAGACAACGGATCGGGCGAACGGAACTATGCAAATGCACCGGTCATGGCCAGGCCCATCCTTGGCCCCAGGATCGGTGCATATGCCTTCCTGGCCAAGGCAGGAGGGCGTATGCACCGATCTTGGGCTCAGGATGGACCTGACCAGAATCGGTGTATGTGCATAGTTCTCTTTCCTCTAAACGGAGAAGGCAGCCAGCCGTGGGCAGAAGGGGTTCGGGCCGCCTCGAGGGGGGCCTCTGCGCGAGCTGGGCGGTGGTAGCCGTGGGGCCCACCGTCTGGCCCATGCGAGGGTTCGTCCGAGGGGCGACCTGAGTCCCGTGGCGTGGGCGGTCCTCCGGAGCGGGGCGCCCGCCAGGCTGCGCGCCGATAGGGGTGGGCCGCCCTGTACGGTGGCAGCGCGGGCCTGGTCCCGAGGGGCCAGGCCCTCGAGGATCCTTTTACATATCCACTCGCTCATGCGATGCTCCGAGGCTCTGGTTCTCTCTCTTTAAGCTGCTGTGCAGAGACCGTCTCCCATGAAACTATTCGATTCGATTCGATTCGATTCGATTCGATTCGGTTCGATAGTGATGATGATGGTCACGGTGATGACGATGATGATGGTGCTAGTGATGAATGTGACGATGACGAGGATGCTGCGGACGATGATGATGAGTATGGTGAATATGATGGGTATACTGATGCTGATGATGGGTATGATTATGTTGTTGATAATGCTGTTGATTCTTCTGATAATGGTGATGACGATGGCGGTGACGATGTTGATGGTGATGACGATGGTGATGTTGGTGATGATCACGACGATGATGGTGATGCTGATGGCGATGACGAGGACGGTGGTGATGATGAGAATGATGATGATGATGATGATGATGATGATGATGATGATGCGGACAATGATGGCGAGGAGAGAGTAGCAATTACCCCGGCAGTACAGGACCTTCGGTGGCGACGCTTCGGATTGTGATGATTTTGGTGATGTGGGTGATAATGGTAATGATTATGTTGATGATGCCGATGATGATGACGCTGTCGACGATGATGACCACGATGAGGACGATTATGGTTGGTGTGGTGATGATTATGTGGGTGATGATGATGATGATGGTGCTGGCTTTGATGGTGGTGACGATGCTGACGCCTATGACGCTGATGAATGTGATAATGTAGATTTTGACGGTGGGGATGGCGATGATGACGATAGTGATATACATGATGATGATGGGGATCAATGATGACGATGGCTATTGTGATGTTGTTGATGATGATGTTGCTGATGATGGTAATGAGACGGAGGAGGATGAGTACAAAGAGAGTATGGCGTTGATGATGATGATGGTGGTGATGATGTTGATGATGATAGTGACGATGGTTGTGATGATGATGCAAACTATGATGATGCTGATGATGACGATGACCATGACGATGACGACGATGCCGACGATGACGACGATGATGCTGGTGATGGTGATTGGTGATGATGATGCGTCTGATGACAATGGTGACGATGCTGATGATAGTAATGTTGGTGATGATGACGATGGTGAAGATGATAATGATGCTGTTGTTGATGCTGTTGTTGTTGCTGTTGTTGTCGTCGTTGCCTCGTATTTGTAGTTGTTGTTGCTGCTGCTGTTGCTGTTGCTGTTGTTGTACCTTTGTCAATTGAGGTGCTTCTCCTGGGGCTCGCACCTTGATTTTGACAAGGGGAAGTGAGGTGTCACCAAACTCTGCCCTTGGCCCCGGGGTTACAACAATAACGGTTCCCGCCGAATACTACCTCACAATTTATTCATAAATCGCGCTCTCGCGCGCGAGTTCCTCACACTTTATACAGGAATCGCGCTCTCGTGTGGGACTTCCTCGCAATTCTTTACGCTTCGCGTATCCCCACCAGCCCGTCCAGAAACGACGGCCAGGCGAGTAGAGGGTCGTCCTGAGGGGCTTTTCGGCGTCTTGGGTGCCTCGGGGGGGCCTCTTTGGGCCGTTTGGGATCCTCTTGGGGGCCTCCTGGGGGCCTCTTGGGGCCATCTTGGGGCCATCTTGGGGTCTCTTGGTGCCTCCTGGGCGCTTCTTGGGGCCATCTTGGAGGAAATCGATCAAAGAAGAGGGGAGCTTCAATTAGCGCTGCCCCCTCAGAAGGCCAAACTGGGGCCAAAACCTTAGTAAAATCAATGATTTTGGCTTCAAAGGAGAGGGGAGCTTTAATTAGCGCTGCCCCCGCAGAAGGCCAAAATGGGGCCAAAACCTTAGTAAAATCAATGATTTTCGCTTCAAAGAAGAGGCGAGCATTTTTCTACCTCCCCCCGTCGGGGCCACAATCCTCGTGAGGGGTGTCGAATTTTAGCCCTCTCAGGAGTCGAAAAAGACCCCTCCAACGACCCGCGAAACGCCCTCTCCAGGGTAGGGGGAGGGGTAAACCCCTCCCCGAAACGGAAGAAGGGGGTTGAGAACAGAGCGGGCTCTCTAAACCACTCACGCCCAAAGGGCTGGTGGGATTTTCCTCACACTTTATACAGGAATCGCGCTCTCGTGTGGGACTTCCTCGCAATTTACTCAGACGCCGCGCCCTCGACACTCAGGAATCGCGCTCTCGCTTTGGTTCCTTCACGATTTGTTTGGGAGTTGCGCTATCGCTTGAGACTTCGGAGGGGCGCTATCTATTTGGGAATCGCGCTTCGCGATTCATGCAGGACGCACGCTTCGGCAACCCGCCTTTCCCTTGTCCCTTCCTTCTATCCGTTCTCTCTTCCCCTGCTTTAGGGGCTGCACGAAATGCACGTTGCAGGTTAGGAAGATCTACCCCTAAGGGGATACGATCGAAGACGACGAGGGCGGGTATCGAGGGTTTGGGAATCTACATATTGACTGGCACGCGAACAGATAAGAGCGAACAGTCATAAAAGGATTGTTGCTGTTGTTGTTGTCGTTGGTGTTAGTGTTGTTGTTGGTGTGGCTGTCGGTATTGTTGTTGTTGTTGTTGTTGTTGTTGTTGTTGTTGTTGTTGTTGTTGTTGTTGTTGTTGTTGTTGTTGTTGTTGTTGTTGAACATTATTAATTCTAAAGAATAATTATTGTTGGGACCCCTGGTGCACGGCCCCCCCGCCGCGCCTAGGCCGCAGCTACATTTTCATCATTTTTTCGCGAAAGCTTCAGAAAAGTGGATGGGGTCCAGATCCGGTTGTTTTGTTGTAATCCGTTTTCCCTTGCAAAAAACACTATAAAATGACATTTCTTGTTCTAATATAATCAAATTTCAAGAATCCCTTGCAAAAAATAAGGTAAAGTGGACATTCGCGCGCGCAAGACGAAATCCTTCCAAAAGCTTAGTGTTCGGAGCGATTTTAACATAAAAACATCAAAAAACCAATGGTTTTTCAACAAAAAAATGTCAAAATCTCATCCCGCGCGCTCTTGCGGATTCGTAGGAAACCCAACACTTTTTAAACATTTCTGTCAAACGGGCTTTTGCGAGCAACTTTTTCGAACTTCTGCGACAACGGTTGCGCACCTGCCAGGGCCATCATCCCTGTCAAATAATACCATGCGGGACACATTCGTTTTTTCTTCGCGCGCGCACGCCGTCGTCGTCGGCCGCGGGGCCCTGAATAGTAGCCACGGTCGTCCGCATGCCACGAAGTGAAGTGTCCGAACGTCATAGGGCGGGAAGCTGGGTGTGGGTGGTGGCGAAGAGTCGTTTGGAAATTTGGTAGAGCTTGAACCGGCCCCCCCACAAAGTGGGGGTATTGCCCGCCTCCTATGAAAACCCTGGCACTGGTGAGAACGGAGTGTCCCCACGTGCTAGTAATTGTTGTTGTTGTTGTTGTTGTTGTTGTTGTTGTTGTTGTTGCTGGCGATCGTAATGACAATGATGATCCTGCTGCTGCTTATGATGATGACGAGGCTGATGACGATTATGATGCTGCTGCTGCTGCTGATGATGATTATGTTGTTGATGATGATGATGCTGATGATGATGGTACTAAGTCTGATGATGAGTATGATGATGCTGATGATGCTGCCGATGCTGATTGTGATGATGACGGTGACGACGACGACGAGCAGGATGAGATGGAGGATGAGGAGGAACTCGAGTAGGAGGAGGAGGAGGATACCCTTAATAACAACTTAGTCGTAGCGGGAGTGCGAATAAGAGAACGAGTAACAAGGATGATAGGGGAGGCGGAGGCGGAGGAGAAGGAGGAGGAGGATGATGATGATGATGATGAGGAGGAGGAGGAGGAGGATGATTCAGCATATTGGTTTGTGAGGAGGTATACTCTCCGTGGTCTATTGTGCTGGAAAGGATTTCTGGCCATACCGCGGCGACGTCGACGGCGAGGGCGACGGCGAGGTCGATGGCGACGGTGGTGGGGCCACCGTTGGGATATATTTGGCGCCATCTGTGGGCCACGTCGGGGCCCTGTCGGGGCCACGTCGGGGGCCGTCTTGAGGCCACCGCGGGGCCCTCTCGAAGTCATCTCGGGTGCCCTGACCGGGCTGCGAGGTACGGCCACACGAACCCGGACGCCTTCATCGGGCCGCCCCTGGCGGAGTTCCTGAGCCCGGGCGCCGACGTGTCCGCCATGCAGGCGCTCTTCGCCGACGATTTGGCCCGCCAGCTGTGCAGCTTCCAGGCGCCGCCGCACTGCAGCCCCGCCTGCTCCTCGAGGGAGGAGGGGGAGGGGCAGGAGGAGGAGGAGGAGGAGCAGGAGGAGGAGGAGGAGGAGGAGGAGGAGGAGCAGGAGGGGGGGGAGGGGCATAGCGAGGAGAAGGAGAAGGAGGAGGAGGAGGAGGGGGGGCTGGAGACCGTAGCAATGCCTGCATTTGTTTTTGTTGCTTTTATTTTTTTTCTCCGGGGGAGGGGGGGAGGGAGAGAGACAGAGAGAGAGGAAGAGAGAGAGGGAGAGAGAGAGAGAGAGAGTCAGAGTCTGACATCCCCGATCTCTCTTGCTCGTGGCGCCTCGTGTCAAGCCAAAGGGTCAGCAAACACTGCATGACAGGTTTTTCCAGGTCAGGGCCAGCAAGCACTGTAAGGATAGTGTTCCAGTTTTTTTTCAGGTTTCTGTGAATCGATGCGCGCCCAGGTAGATAGATTCACAACAAATCTGAAACACCTGTTCTTTACAGTGGTGTACTGGCCCTCGGACATGAAACATATGCTTCTTACAATCATCCTGTGGTGCTGGGCCGTTGTCTTGAATCAGCAGCCCCCCCCCGCGTTTCGGCCCTCCTCCGTTCTGCCTCTGCCCTGGCACGCCCCTGCCACGTTATTCAAGCTCCATGGATGCTCCACAGGAGGCAGTAACATGAACAAGTCCGCATGCAGTCGTGGGCTGCTTTCGCTCGCCCCAGCCGCGCTTTCCAAGGCCCATGGGAGCTCCACAGGAGGCCAAACTAGAGAAGTGCGCCTGCAGTTCTGGGCTCAGATTCCTCGCCCCTGTCACGGTTTTGAAGCCCCATGGCAGTTCTACAGAAGGTCGGAATGAAACAGTTCGCAGCAGTCGCGGGCTCATTTTGCTTGCCCCTGCCACGCTTTTCACTCTCCATCAGAGCTCCACAAACGGCCTACATGAAGAAGTCCGCATGCAGTGGTGGGCTCATTTCGCTGGCCCCTGTCACGCTTTCCAAGCCCCATCGGAGCTCCAGGGAAGACCGACATGAACAAGTTCGCATGCAGTCGCGAGCTCATTTCGTTCGCCCTTGCCACGCTGTTTAAGCCCCATCGGAGCTCTACATAAGGCCGAAATGAAACAGCCTTCATGCAGTCGTGGGCTGTTTTCTCTCGCCCTTGCCACGTCTGTCAAGCTCCATGGGAGCTCCACGGAAGTCTGAAATGAAACAGTGTGCATGCAGTCGTGGGTTCATTTCATTCGCTCTTGCCCACGCTTTTCAAGCCCCATCGGAGCTCCACGTAAGGCCAAACTGAAGACGACCGCATGAAGCCGTGGGCTGATTTTTTTGGCCCCGCTCACGCTTTCCAAGCCCTATAGGGGCTACACACACGGTCGAAACGAACAAGTCAGCATGCAGTTGTGGGCTCATTTCGCTCGCCCCTGCCATGCTTTTCAAGCCTTCTGACGGGCTCCACAGAAGGCCGACAAGAAAACACCGTATGTAATCGTGGGCTGATTCAATCATTTCTCTTGCCCTGACCAAGCTGATTTCGTTGGCCCCTGACTCACCCCTCACAGGTGTCGTGGTCCCATAGGAAGTTCCCCTTCCTTCGGCCCACCTGCCTTGCGGTATTCAATACTGCATATGGCTGGGTCCTTCGCCAGGCTGGTTTACAATGGTTGATGGTCCGAGCCCGCTCGTGCGGTACCCTTTCGTGGGCTTTGTCATTCAACCTGGTGGAGCTCAGGCACTACATATTGCTTCGGAATTAGTGCTTAGTGCGGGTTCCTTAGGGATTTCTTCGGTATTGATCCAATCTGCCTTTTCTGACGGGAATGATTCCGTATTAAGGAGTTCTTTTGTAAAACGATTGTTCGTTAAGGATGCTACAGTGAGGACTATTTTGTTCAGGGTGATTCAGGAAGGATTCCTTACTTAGGATTCCTCAATGACTCCTTAGGGAGGCTCTGTATGAAGGACCCTGCAGCAAGGATCTCTTAGCAAGCCTCCCGATCTCTCTTGCTCGTGGCGCCTCGTGTGAAGTCAAAGGCTCTACACACACTGTAGAAACTATGAATTTCAGGTCAGAGGGCCACCAAGCACCGTACGCGACCTTGTTTTCAGGTGTTTCAGCTTTCTGCTGCTCTATGTTCGCTCAGGTAAGTAAAGCCAGTCAAATCCCAGCAGGCCGCCAAGAGGCTCCCAGGCGCCCTGAGACAGCCCAACCTTGCCTCGAGAAGGATCCAGAAAACACCACGACGCTCCGGAAAGACCCCCAAACGACTGCCAAGAAGGCGTCCAGAAAGCATCCAGCGCATCGTGGATTTGTGCGCCGACATGGGCCCACGTTGGCGCCGAGAAGCAAGCGAAACACTTGTACTTTTCCCAAACATCCTGCGGTGTCGGGTCCTTGTTTTGAAGAGACAGCTCCCTGCGTCTCCTGCTGATCGCTGAGCGCGTTCGACTGCCTCAGCATCTGCCAGCTCTTTGTTGGCGGCGAGAACGAGGGGGCTGTTGTCGTCCAGGCCG